GAATACAAAACTAACTTCAAACGTTTCCCTTTCAGCAATTTCACGTACTGTTAACTCTATTTTCAAAGTTCTTTTCATCTTTCCCTCACGGTACTTGTTTGCTATCGGTCTCTCACTTATATTTAGCCTTAGATGGAATTTACCACCCACTTTGAGCTGCATTCCCAAACAACTTGAACAAGTGATCTCTTCTTAGAACCCATGGGCATTCTAATATCACAGTGTTACTTCATACGTCCGAGGATGAGCTTTTAATTACGGAAACACCCATCCCACGGCTCTAAGGGAATCACCCCTTAGAGCTGCCTTTGCCAGAGGCTGACGACTCGAGACTTTTACTCGGTAAACTCCCTTTCCACAGCGCGTGATGTTGCCATAGACTTTACAGTCCCTCGGCCAGTTGTCATAATCGCAGAGGATACGACATGAGTACAATTTGAAACTACATGTCTACCAGTCCGTTTGCAATTGGTGTAGACTGATAGAAACTGTCAATCGACTTCTGGTATAACCCAAAAACTGATTTCAAGAATCGTGCTACGGGGACAAATCCATACAACGCCATACTTTCCGGCTGAATACCGGTTATGTTGCCATACCCGTGTTGCCACAGAAACATGAACTTTTCAGAGGAGTTCAGTTTCCGTAGTATATCCTTCAGACTTCCCACGATAGGCCCAGAGGCGGAACAATATCCGCCCATCAAGTAGTTGGTTACTTTCATATCTCTCTGATTGACTTCACCTGCGGTTTTAACTTCTTTGCATTTGCGAAGTTTATCTATTATCTCACCGAGATGTGCTTTACGTTGTTCTTTGAATTCTTTGCAACGTAGGAAAATGTGAGAAAGTTCATCTTCTTCCTCCATAGCTTCACCTCTCCTTCTGCTTTTCTGACAGAGAGGACATATAGTTGGACCTAGCATCAAGGCTTCAGGCTTCAAAGTATTCACTTTTTTGTGGGCTTCATACTGAGTTTTCGCAAGTGGAAGTATTCCTAATCTCGCCTTTACTAATAGTAGTACACCATCTTTAAGGTATGGGTATCGTAGAGCAGCTTTTTGGAAGTTTCGAGTTAAGCCGTACTCGTGTTTCTCATAGTCCATTTGTTCAATTGGACCTTGAAGTTTAGTTTGGGTTAATTCTTTTCCCCATTGATATGCTTTTACGGCAAGCATCTCTTCTTTGATTTTCACGGCGGAGTCTTCATTCCCGTGGGCAGTGATCCAAGTTTTTGGTATATTCTTGGGGTATTGAATGGCTTGCGCTTGCAATCCTTTGATGATCATTTTAGGGACTACAAATTCCCTTTTGGCGTTCGCCTCATCTACTTGAGATGAATACTGGCTGATGGTTTTAGGAAAAACTGCGGCGTGGGCACGACAGGTTTCAGAGCGGGTGATGGAGGCCCATGTTTTCTTTTTGCCTCCTTGAGTTGGACTGCACAATATCTCACATGCGTCAGTCATCATTGATGCAGATTTGGAATGAATGCGATAGCGAGCAGCTGCGCATGCTGCTGCAACGGATGGGACACCTAGTTCCCATGATAATCTGACGGGGCATATACTTTTACATGCCCACTTTTCGCCAATTGTCAAGTAGAGTGCGTGATCCACTTCTTTTTGTATGATGGATGTCCGTGTTTGATTCATCCCAATCCATTCTCCACCATATAGTGCGGCGGATAGGATGTATGTTTTGATCAGAAAAGATTTTTCTGCTAGGGTCCGGCGTGGATCTTTCAAGATACACGCAAATTGAGCAACTTTTTGTCGTACTTTCTTTGCTAGTGTCATTGTGTAGGCCATTTCTGAATCATAACCTACCCCAAGGTCGTCACCTATGTCAATTCCTAGGTATCTATAAGAAGATTGGGCATAAACTTTGCCGTCTGTTAGAGTGAAGTGACTTTTGTTGTCACCCGGATATTTACTTGGTTCTCCGTATTTGTCCAAGAAAGCTTTGCGGAGTTCGGGGTCTTTTTCTCCGTGCATTACGACCGCACATTTGGCGTGTCCAATTTTGAGCGTTTGCCATTTACTGACCCACTCTGTGATAAGCTGACAACCTTTCTCAAGATCTTCAAGGTTGTCAAAGAAGGCCGCAGCATCATCTGCATATAGTTTGCCTATGTCGTTATAGTTTTCACTAATACCCGGCACAGTGACTCCGGGTAGTTTATGGAAGAGATCATTTACAAAAATGATGAAAAGGAGAGGTGAGAGAGGGCAACCTTCTTTGGTGCCTATCTCCATAGGGTATTTATCTGAGAGTTCGTCACCGACTCTCATACGAAAGGTACTTCCTTTGTAGGTGTTATCCAGGAATGAAATAATATTTTCCGGTATTCCGAGGTGGCGAAGCTTTTTCCAAAGTGCTTCATGTGGTACGCTTGGAAATGCTTTTTGGAAGTCAATATACAAGACATATGTGGGTTTGTTGATGTTTGCTCTTCGGCGAACAACTTCAGTGAGTGAGAGGAATTGTCCCATTCCTTCCTCGAGGCGTCTAAAGCCACCTTGGTCCGGGGTGAAGAATTCTACCCCATTAAGTTCTGAGCTCATCCTATCTTCAAGGATAGTCATAAAGAGTTTGAGGAATGCGGTTGAAAGTGTTATTCCTCTGCGGTTGGATAGGTGTATTGGATCCTTTCCAGGTTTGCTCAGTGAGATGACAGTGTTCTCAAAGTCTCCGGGTGCTGGTGTTTCTTCTTCCAACATAGTGTTTAGGATTTGAAGCGCTTGAATTCCTGCAGGCGTTTCTAGATCCCCGTCCATGTCTTTGATTGGGACGGGATGGTAGATGTGGTCAAGTGGGTCGTAAAACTGCCCAAGACCTGTTTTCATCAAGGGCCGGAGCGGATCCGGTCTTGTTTTAGAGGGTTTGGGAAGCGGCTTATCCGCCCATTCCCATGCTGCGTATCTGTCTTCCTCATTTCGAGATACTAATGATTTAACTTTGGTATTATTTTCCGGAGTTTCATATTGGAGTATAGAGAGTTTAGGTCTTTTCTTCTGTGTTTTCTTTTTATCCTCTTTTGATTTTGGAGGATGTGAGCCAATGTATTGACTTCTTTCAAGTTTCAAGATTTCTTTGAAGATTACGGGTGGCACGTTGTCACTACCACGTGCTGCATTTTTGTTAAGCCTACTACAGGCTTGTAGAAATTCCTGAGGAGTTATAGGTCCCCCAACAGGTAGTGGTTCAAGTTCGGGATCATCACATGTAAGGTTCTCCCAATATGTAGGGTCTTGTGATACACCAGTGGAGTCACGAGATAGGGTACTGAAGTGTTCAAACTCAGCTTTTGCAATGTCTTTGTTGGTGACACATAGATTCCCTTCCTTGTTTTTACAGGGCATGGGGTGGCTTTGTTTCTTTCCAAGGTGATCTGGAAGTACGGCTTTAATAGCCGCATGGAAGTCAAGCATCTCATTGTCTGTAAGATGCTTATTAGTTTTTTCAGCCTTTTTCTTGGCCTGATCTTTTTCAAACTTTTTAATAGCAGTTTTAGCAAGTCTACTAGCTTTTTCGGCATAGTTTGTTAATTTAGTAATTTCACTGAGCGGGGTTTTCTTGCCCAGTGCGTCTTGGTAGAGCGCCTTGGTTTTTCTGGCGTTCTTAAGGAGGTTTGCTATGTTTCTTGGAAAGTGAATAGCACGTGGGGGTTTTGAGTATTTTACTGCACCCCATTTCGAGGCGGACTCTACAAGATTAGATGTCCACGCATTACTCTTTTCTTCAAGAGTACCTGATGTAGGGAATGTCTTCCATGCCACATCTGTGAGAACATCTGTTCCATGTCCTTTGAGTAGTTTCAAGTCCCATTTCAAACTTGGTTGTGGTGTAGTAACGAATTTCTTTCGAATCTTCATGCTTATGGCGGCGTGATCACTTGCGCCATTGTATTTTAGCGACATTTGTCGACTTACTTTGGTTTTACAAGTAATGTCTTGTAATGCTGGTGAAATCAACCAATGGTCAATATCATTGAATTTTCCTCTCTTTGGGAGACGAGTAAAGTTTGAACCGCAGCAGGGTTTGATGCTCATACGGCCGCCGGTTTGCCTCAAAGCAGCTTTTGCTAATTTTTCTGTGGGCATGTTGAAATCACCACCAATGGCAATTTTACAGTTGGGATCTTCTTCTAACAGATCATTGATTTCTTCCCACACGGGTTTAAGTTGGGTTGTTCGATGTTGTCCTTTGTTGGATCCGGACTGGAGATATACTCCAAAGATGTGCCATAAACTATCTGGCTCAAGATGTGTGACTACCAGATGTTGTATTCTGGGGTCTTTTGTAGGCTTTTCATAAGCGCCTATATCATTGCGGACCATCATACAGAGTCCATAAAAGCCTTGTTCAGCTGGGTGTGAGTAGGTTCGATAACCATCTAATTTGGGTTCGTATTTCAGGTTTGTTCTACGATGTTCTCCGATGACAATTACACCGGCGGTGACTTGTTCCGCTAAGGACGCAAGAATTGTGGCTTTGTTATTAAAGCCATTGGCATTCCACGCAAGAAGGGATGTATATCCGTGGGATTTTGTAGAAACCTCGGGAGGTTTAGGGATTGATGTGTTGAAGTTAGGAACATCATCACGGTATGATTTATACAAGTTAACACGCCATTTGGTAGTGCTAAAGCAGTTTAAGGTGTTTGGCCCGCCCTTTTTTGGTTTTTTGGTTGTACGACAAAAAGTTGGAGGAACACCACTTGGGCGTTCTCGGGGTGTAAGTTGCATCATTTTGATGAAACCTGGTGCAATATCTGGTGAGACGCAGATATCAAAGGCTGGTTGTTGGAATGGATTGCTTCTTTTCATTACTCCAACAACTTTTTTATATTGTGCTTCGGTCAGTCTATGTTTTATGACTGTCCATACATCAACACTTGTACAATTTCCAGTGTTGTTAAGGGTGAATTTTACTGAGTTCTTGAGATTATATTTGATTTCAGCTTGTTTGACGCCTTTATTGCAAGTCAGCGTAGAG